TTGCAGAAAACAATGGGCCCGGACGCGCAAGTTCGAGGCTGCCAGAGGCCGACTATATAGAGGCTGCCAGCGGAGGGCGGCTGACGTAGCACAGTTCGTACAGGTCAAGAACCGAATCCGTACATTATACGCAGGCATGTGCTCTCCTCCGTCAGTCCTTCGTCGCAAGGTGTTTACCGGCACTTCAATACCCGGAACCACGCATTACAAGAGCGCCAACTCGTCCATTTGGCGTGGTCATTGTCTCGTTCTGGTAAAGCAGCGTAGGGTTGGACGTATGGTAGTATTCAATAGTAGCCGTACTCATCACTGTCCTCATCTTCGTCTTCGTCGAAATCGAATTCGTTCGATCCGCCACCGCTGCCGAAAAACAAACCGTCGCCTTCGTCTATGCCTATCTCCTCGCCCTCCTCGTCGCGACGCGCACGAATCGCCCATATGGGCGTGGAGATCCCGGAGGAGGGTCCGTGGCCTTTGCGACGCAATGTCGCGCCGTGTGTAACGGTGACATCCACGTATCCCTCGAAAAGCTCCTTATCGCCGTCACACCAGACGCGGTGCATCTTGAAAGTCCCTTTGACCTTTGAAATCATGTCCGCGCCGCAGTCGCCCGAGGCTCCGACGTCCATCTCCAGGTCGCAGTGGAAGCCACGCTTGAAAGTCCCAGCCGCGTTCTCTTGACCCTTGGGCATCTCTTTCTTGCTGAGGCTGATATCGGACTGCTTCCCGTCAAGGACGTAGATCGGATCTTCGAGGGGCTCTTCACTGAACGGGTTCTCGATTTGACGGCACTCGAACGCGCCTGTCGCACGGCAAGGGCGAGGCGACCGCTGAAGGTTGGCTTGGCTTGCTTTTCTAGGAGCGTGGCGTATAGCTTGGGATAGCGGGGTTTGCGAACGCCATCGGGGAGGTACTCGCGGTGTAAGAAAGACAAGAGAGTCGAGTACCAGTCAAACTTGCCAGCATACACGGGCTCTGAAGCTGACCTAGTAGAAGCAGCCGCGACGTCTTTGGAGGGGGAAGACTCGACGCCAGGCGCGACAGTAGGGTCCGTCGTCACGGTCTCGGCCGACGGCGTAGCGCTGGCTTTCGGCACGGAGGGCTTGGAAGCTATTCAGAAATATGAGCGCCGCGAGAATACAGATGTTGTCTTGTTGAGCTCACCGGCTTCTTTGGTCGTGACCTTCGTCTTCTTGGCAGCCTTCGCTGTCGTGGAAGATTGCTCTGCTGCGAAGTAGGCGAAATCAGACGCGTCGTGCACCTAGACGTCCACCCTCGACGCACCAGCTTTCCTCTTTGGCGGCATAATGATAGCAACAATTCTCTGGTCAAGTAGCGATGGACGAAGTTGGAACGACAACGACGACAGCGATAACGAGCTTTTAAACAACGCAACAAGACCACACGTGTCTCATGAACGCGTCCGTCACAACGTGACAAAGCGCGTTTAATCGCAGAATATAATTGAGTGCAATGTGCAAGGTGCAACTTTGCCGGAGGCCGACTATTATATAGACTGCCAGTAGAGGGCGGTTGACGTAGCAAAGTCCGTACAGATAGAGAACCGAGAGTGCTTCAAGCAATACTCTCAACGCGCATCCGTCCAATATACGCAGGCATGCGCTCTCAACGTCAACAACTGTCGATCCTTCATCGCAAGGCATTCACCGGCACTAGTGGTGCGGTGTGGCCGATAGCTGCATACAGCTCGTCAGCCCGTGAGCGAAGTCTGCACATCGAGGAAGGACTGACCGAAACTACGAACATGTCGCTTGCTTGCGGCTAAGGACAACACATTCTCTATGTTCTCCGACGCAGTATGATGGTTCCGGGGCCGTTGTGCCGCAAGCAACTCCTCAAATATCGAGATAGCAGACGGCTTCGTCCCCGTGCGATCTACCTGCCGCAAGCTATTCATCTTGGGGCGGCTCGATGCAGGAGGGTGCACCACGGGTTGATGGTGGTGCTCGCCGGAGGCTGGTGCACGACGTAATGTTCGACGGGACGGCTTTTCCGCATGGACCTGTACATCATCCATCACAATCAGCCTTATTAGCGTGAATGGGACCAGCAAGGGACACATACCACGTTCCGTAGCGGGCTCGGTCCTGCAGGCCTCCGTCCCTTCTCGTCCCAAAACGCCTCATACCGCGCCCTCTTCCGCGCCTTCCCATCGCAGAACCTTTCCGCACACAACTCATACCCAACAGCCAACTCATCGTCCAATATCTCCTTCCTCTTCCCAGACTGCGATGTGTACCACTCCCGGTACGCGGCATCGCGATCAGCGAGTGTGAATGGTGGTGAGCCCTTGCATAGCGTTTCCTGTAGTATGAAGGGCCATAGAGAGCTGAAGGGCATAGGTGCGGGAGGCGGTGGCGGTGGTGGTGTGGGTGGTGTGGAATCGATATTTTGTCCCGCCTGAGTGTTGGTGTCATATGCGGGAGAAGGAACCCAGAATCCGTCGTCGTCAATAATAAAGGCAGTCGTGGGCGTCGTCGTCGTGGTACCGGAGGCCGGTAGCTCGTCAGTGCGTACAGCAGACATAGTGGATAGTAGAAAGCAAGCAAGAGCAGAGAGAGGTCGGAAGACTGGAAGACTGTAGACAAGCAGAAGTAGGGCAGATATATTTCTAGACAGCAGCGAACAGCGGACGAAGTCGTTCAGATGCAAGTGCGGGCAGATCCACACAAGTGTCGATGGCGACGGCAGATCAGAGAGTGGTTTGATGCGGCGGCGGCGCGGCGACGGCTAATAGAGCCAGGTATGGTGAACAATGGGATGTGTGCGTGCGTTGCACGGTCGCGGCGACAACCAAAACTCGAACACGAGGCAGATGGACAATAATGTGTCTTTGGAGGTTTCGATGAACCAAGCCTCACGTCCGCGCTCGCGGCGTGGCCGCGCCTGGAAGGACCGTGGAAGCTCGCGTTACAGGCGTCCCAGACGGACCTGGTGGTGGACGGATGGCAAGTTACACGAGGCGGTGGTTGTGGTGGGATAATTTTTGCGGAGAGATCACGGCCGTCCGTGAGAGCGTCAAGCCGCGCGATGGCCTCATGGGCGCCTACAGCCTCTCGGTGGCGAAAAACAGGACACTTGAGACATGATTGCGGTAATATACATGACGAGGAGGAGCGTTCTATCACTGAGGTACTGTAACAACGACATGACCAGGCGGGATAGTGACCAAATGAACAGAAGGGAGCGGAGCAGGCGACGGAGAGCAGAGCGACTTGTGAGGGACTAAAACTGTGATGATGACCGAGAAACCGTAGAGGAAACAGACGAAGGGATGACGAAGTTACTGTGTTGAGGGACGTGAATACTATATGAATGTATGTATGACCAAGATCGGGAAGCCGTGAACATGTCCGCACGGGCGCGAGTTGGTTGAGAATGATGACGATGATGATGCTGAGGGGATGGTAAACGACTAGGATAGCGAGGAAGAGGAAGAGGCAGCGTTTTTATGTGACCCCAACTGAAAAGATGCATACATGTACAAGGCCGACGGGGAAATCAGTCACATGTTCGTGCGCACAAACAATAAAATGCTAAAGCGAATTCGAAAGCGGGCGACAGCGAGCACTGAGCGATAAATTACACCGTTCATGTCGATCCATTGACGTAGCGTTTTGAGCCACGGCGGCATCATGTTCCGCTGCCTGGGCCGCCACCACCCCATGAACGCTTGCGCGTATCGGGTAGGTGTAAGTTCGCAGGCGGTGGAGGTGGCTGCCACGAGTACAATGATGAGCCCGGTGGCGGCGCGGGTGGCGGAGGCTGCTGTTGCTGCTGCTGAGAGGGCGCCGAATACTGCATTGTATACTGCGCCAGTTGCTGCATAGGCGTCTGATGAGGCGACTGCATCGGCTGATTGGGGACCTGCTGCCCCGACGCCACCGGTGCTTGAGCGGCCTGGCCGTGTGGCAACGGCGCCTGAGCTTGAGCCTGCGCCCCTGCCGGGTGCCGCGGTCCTTCAAGCTCTTGAACCTCCTCCGCTAACCTTTGATTTGCAAATTTGAGCTGCTGGAGCGCAAATTGCCAACTCTCGCCGGCGTTGGCGTCAAGCTCGCCAAAGACGTCGATCTGCGAGGCAGGATCGACCGCCGCGGGCGCTTGTTCCTGCGCGGAGCCGGCCGCGCACATGCGTAACATCATAGGCGCGCCCTCCGGCGCTCCATACAACGTGCCTACCGCCCCGTTGCGGAGCTGAATAGTCTGAGGGCCCACGCCAGGCTGTCGTGCGCGTTGTAGCGCTGCTGCAGCATCTGCTGAAGTGCCGTCCGCCGCGATCTCGACGAGGGTTCGTCCCACGAGCTCAGGTACAGCGGCACCGAGAACTTCGCGCGCACGGGGAGCGGCCGAGATAAGGCTTCCGGATGCGCTCAAAAGATTCCACGCCTCCGTCGTCGCACTCAGTGACGAGGCACCAATGCTCGACGGAAGTGACAATCGAGGCATGGTCCGCTGCCGTGCGGACAAGATGATTGCCTTGCGGCCCTTGCCCGGCTCGATGTGTAGGCGCCCCCGGCACTCTAGCCACATATACTCAGGCGCTGCGCCCTCGACGCTTGCGCCCATCCTCGCACGGAAGAGCAAGTTCACAGGCTTGGGTGCGCCTGACAAAGGCACTCGCGGGAGCGGTACGCCCGCCTCAGCATGTGCAGATGCTGCAGCTTGAGTATCGGATGGTAGGGACGGAGCAGAAGACTCCTTCAGGTCGCGGGTGAGAGGAACGACGTCCGAAGGGTGGCAGTAGTCTGTGAGGCTTTTGTTGACAAGCTCTTGCGCGTCATAGCCAAGCATATGAGCGAGCGCTGGGGCGGCGTACAAGAAAGTTCCCTTCAGCGAGAGAACAAGCAGACCGTCCGCGAGACCTGACAAGAGCACGAGGCTGAGCGACGTATTCGTGTCGCAGTACTCTGCCAGATCGTCGGCCTCGAGACCCGCGGTCTCCGGAAGAACGCTAGATAAGAACGCTGGTTCGGTGAGCATCTCGCGGAACTCCTGAGCAGCGGCGAGCGCAAATAGTTTGTTTCGACGATCACGAGCATTAGCGTACGTCGTCAGAGGAGCCTGTGGTGTGTTCGTAACGCTGTAGTTGACCATGTACGTCCCATTACGTAGGCGCTCGAGAATCGCGTTCGGCTGCTCCGTGAGATCAACTTGGAAGCCGACGTGGTAGACAACCTCATCCTGCTCGTCGGGGCCGTTGTGGAGCCCGCCTGCCACAGGAATGACGGTGACAAGGTTGATGAAAGCCTGCCCGCTTTTGCGATAGTTGACGATGCTAGTCTGGCACTCCTTGTCTTGAACAAGCGACTTTCGGAGGTAGTCCACGGCTTCGGGGGCGATGAACCGACGCTGCTCCCCACGCTGGACCTGCCCGCCAGGCGCCTGAAGGAACCGACAGTTGCGACCGACAACCTCATTCTCCGCGTAGCCAGTAAGACTGTAAAACGTGGGACTGGCGTAAACGATGGGCGAGTCATATCCTCGCGTGTCGACCACACAGAATGCACAAGACAAGTCGACAGGCCCGAGCATGATCTTGGGGTTTGGGCGATTGACTAAACGAGCAAGAACGCCCATCAAATCGAAGCCGGAAGTGGAGTAGACTGGTAGACCAAGCGCGGCGCCCGCACCTGCATAGGCAGCGATATTATTTGGTGGCAATGGGGGCGGATGTATAGGCGGCGCCAATGAGCCGGGTAGTGATGTCGCGGCGCCACTCCATGTCATTCCCGGAGCCGTAGGCGCTTGTGTGTACGTCGCGGCCGGCGACGCCTGTGGCTGCACTTGGCTCCAGTCTATCGAGTTGAATCTACAAAGAGCGTTCAGCGGGTGAAGATCAGAGCACACGTGAAAATATACTTACATCGAAGCCGATGGTGAACTTGAGTTGAACCAGGCTGTAGGACTGATCATACCGGCGGAGAGTACCTCGGCACCGCCTCCAGGTGCTAATGTTGCTTGGGAACCGAACAGGAAAGGTGGTAGTTGAAGCGGAATATTGCCCGCAGTTGCAGGCATGTTTCCGAACAACCCTTGCACGGCATGATGGGCTGGGGGCAAAGTCGCCGACGGCGGTGTCGACGAGCTATCTTGCGGCTTCTGAGGAGTGCGCTGGCCGTCCTGACTATAGTATGCGTCGTACGGAGCCGGCTGCTCATTATCCTGCTGCTGGAGATACAAGCTGAACGGCATTTCGTCAGCTGTGGGCGAGCGGAGGAGGCAAGAGACGCGCGATTGCAGACGCGCGATGATCGCCGGTCAACTATGTATCGGCCCCTGTTCGGCAACCTCCGTCCCTCTAACACGGGCACCCACATCCAACTCTATTGCGGGGCTCTGGCGCTCCCGCGCGCTCATGTGCGTACGTGTGTTACAACGGCAACTGTTGGAAGCAAATCTGTGCGTTGCTCGCCTCACATTCGCCGACGCAGTCATCGGTGACGAGGGGCAGATGCCATACAGGGACAGGAGAGCCGCCGGCATCGCGGACGTCTCACACACTGTGGCCACTATGTCTATAATGCTTACAGATTTGGGGTCAGTGATTCTCGCAGACTATACGTTGAGCCGCACGCTCGCAACGTAACGCTCCTTCGCGTCTGAACATGAGGAAGGCTCTGGAAAGTCTTTGCAGAGAGAAGCGGAAGGCGGGGGGCGGCTCGGAGTGGCGCGCGCGCTCTTTCCGGATCAATGACTCGCGTGGCGTAAACACTGAAACAGACGTCAACATATTCTACGCGCTGTCTTCTGCGATGATTGCACCACACAGAGTCGTAGTCGAAGTGCAACTCAGCGTACTCATAGCGCACAAGGTCGTTGAGCCCAGAGTTCGATCGAGGCTTGTGGTTGCTTACACGCCGACGGTGTACGGTACCGGTGTACAGTGACACCCCGAAACACGTACACCCAATGCGAGCTCTATTGCACCCGGATCCTGTATATCGAAGTCTAACTGACTAGCCCTCGCCCTTGCCTCTTTCCTCGGGATCGTACCCGCCGCGCGCCGTATTGTCGCCAGCCTGATAGGCGCCTGTCAGAAGCCTGTCCCCGTAAGGGCATATTGCCAGCGCAAATGTGTACCGAAAAGCTAGATCGCATGACTGCGGGTATTCATGTCCGGACCGGCGGCGTTGGAGCCAGAAATGCCAGCCCGATGTCACTCGCGATATTGCCTCACTGCATCCGCGCTCAAGATCTTAGTCATGGGAGACGACGTTCACGACAACTCAAGTAAGCAATCCGAGGAGATGAAATACCGCCCAATCTACTATGAGAACGTTTCACGGTAAGACAGGGCATAAGTGCCGCCCTGCCAATGGTTTTTATGCAAAACATCCCATACCGCAGTCGCTGAAGAGTCTATACGTACAGAGTAGACATCAACATCGAGTTCCAGCATGATCATACCAGCCTACAAACGAATTGTGCCAATAGTTGCAAGTATGCGTTGCGGAGACATGGCGAGTTCGGTGATGGAGAGAGCAGGAAGCCTGTGAAGGGCAATATCGATATCTTTGCCACGCTGCGCGGCAGTCATACAGATAGACATAGCAAGATTGCATGTGGTACATCTGACCAAGTGGAAGTGCTGAGCGCGTAGTCTCACTCGATGAACATGGCGGTTCGGAACAAGCATGCTTTGCGCGAGGACGCTGCGTCCATCGCCGCCCCGCTCGCGCCCGCTGCGCTTTGCTCCCGACCACCATGCAGATGATATCGATTGCTACCCGCTCTAGCTGCGGGCTCTGCGAGCTAGCTGCGTCTTTATCGCTAAGCCTTCTGCAGTAAACTACGAGTTCTACCTGTGGGCTTGGAAAGTACGGCGTTTTCCCGTGAGCGGCTGTAGAAGACCGGAATGCCGGGACCTTGATCGGCGTCTATGTCTCCGCATTCAGTCGTGCGCTCTATATCTACAGGCACAGGGCATCAAGTAGCCTCTGTTTCTTGCTTCCATCGTGTTGAAAACGTTCAACGTCGACGGACATGACCATGGACGCATCCGGCGACAGAAAGGCCTCGGAGGATATCGGGCAATTACCCTATCCCGCAGTGGACTCTTCGGTTCCCAACAAATCCCCATTTCAACGCATTCGCCTCCTACTCCTTCTCATTGGAACCGTACTGCTGTTTTCCAGCAGTGCGCGGCGCTCCTCTATTGACTTCTTCCCCGGGCGGCCTTGGCCGATCTCATTCTCCGGCCTAGGCTCGCCGTCTTCTGCGCTTGACACGTTCTTCCACACGTCCACGCGCACAGATGAGCTTTGTCCCAGTGTGGCGAATGCCTCTTCGTATAGTGGCTGGATCGGGTTGGAAGGTGATAGCGATGAGACCCCGAAGCGCTCGTTCTACTGGTATGACCGTCTTCTCGTATACACACGTTCAGTAGTGACTCACGACTACAAGGCTCTTCGAAGCAGAGGAAGATCCCGAGAATGCACCGGTCATGTAAAAACATGTCTCTATCGACCTCGATCCTTGCCGCTGATGTCCGCCTCCAGTTTGACGATCGGGGGAGGTCCTGGAACTTCTGGTCTGATAAACCCGTTCGGAGGGCAATCGCACTGCAAGATCAACGAGAATGGTACGGTGGCGAACCCTTATCGCTGGACAGAGAAGTACAATCTCCTTGCTCTCGATCATGTAGGTGCCACATCGTTCTATGAAGTCATATCGTGGTCACTCATGCGTTGTGCGACGTCTAGCCCATCGGCGTCGGTCTTTCGTACGGGACGATGGTCAACAACAGTGTCGATGCGGCACATGATGTGTACGACTTCTTGCAGAAGATCTACAAGGTGCATCCGCATCTCGCAAGGTAGCTAATACCGATCCTACACCGCGTTAGAATGTGCTGACGCATCCAATCTAGCAACAAGTTTGTGATTGCTAGCGGCTCGTATGGCGGACGGTACGTTCCCACTATCGCGACGGTCATACAGGAGGAGAACCAGGCCATTGCTATGGGCGAAGGAAAGCTTCACGCCACTCACATCGATCTGGAAGCGCTGCTTGTCAGTAACCCGTGGACGGTTAGCGCTTTTCTTCTCACGACCCTGGCTCATCAACTGATCGCCAAGCCCATGTAGGACCCGTTGGCGTATCACCGTTGGCTACTCTACTACCGCTGCGAACTGCATCCCTTCTACAACGCCACAACATGTGCAGAGCTCTACGGCACTCTCCCAGCGTGCCTCGAGTCCATCGAGCTGTCGTTCCAGAACTCGACAGCCCACAATCGTCGTTTGGCAGAGGAGACTTGCGCCAGCTTCCGGCGGTATGGACAGAATGGGACGCTCATGGAGAATATCAATCGGAGATGCGAAACTCGTGATGATATTGGGAAATGCTATCCTTCGTTCAACTGGATGCCGAACTTCCTCAACTCGAACGCGACGAGGAAGGTACTGGGTGTACCAGACTTCGTAGAGTACAAGTCCCTCAACGTGTGTTATCTGTGGTTTCTGCACACCTGGGACACCAGATGCTCATGTTCATTTTCAGGATGATGTCACGAAGGAGTTCATGACGTACGGTGATAAGTACGCCCAGCTTCGTTTTTGTATTGATCAACGGGTCGACTGACTTGAGACGTCGACCAGCATGTTCCCCACGCAAAAGTTGTACGAGCCACTGGTCTCAGATGGGATACGTGTACTGCGTAAGTATTGCTCCGGTCACAGCCACGAGCGCACCCAATGCTGACATGCTACATAGACCACGCCGGGTCTCTCGATGCCAACTGCCCCAATCCGGGCACATTCTCATTCGTTCGTCTTGTTTGCGCTGTCTGCAGAGACTATCATCTGACCACTTCTACAGCTCAAACTGCTCCATACCCCGTTCTCCGAGGCCTTCCGCACCGGAGAGGACGTGCCGTGGCCGTCCGCAGAAGAGCCTCAGGGCACAGTACGCGTTGCAGGCTCCGGAGCCGGGAACTTCACATACTTGACATATGACAACGCCGGTCACTTCGTGAGCTTCACTATTGTTAGCGATCGTCTAGACACTGATAGATTCCTTGCCCAGATCGTGAGCGATCAGACTTGGCAAACAAAGTACGTTGTCGAGCACTTCATCGACAACATTCCTTTTGTATAGCGTAGTCGGTCAAATGGACCCATATACTGGTGTATTCGCATGATATACATTGTAATCGATGATGAGAAGCATATGTGTGCGGCAAAGGGAAAGGTAGTGGTACAGCAGAAGCGGAGTAAACGATTACGTAGTGGCAGGATCGGACATTGGGCCTGGATTCGTTTGATCAGAGAGGGACAGTCGTTGATATATAATCCCACGATACGGGCAAGCGGACGTAGGTATCCAAATCAGCGACCATATCGCGAGACATAGTACACTTTCGAATAGTCAACTCTTTCAACCATCGGCTCGACCTCGCCCGCCGTTTGAGGTATCGCAAAAGCTCATTCCCAGCGCCCGTCAACAAATTCGTGTTTTCGATGATGATGTGCTCGAGGTGAGGGAGGAGTAACTCGTCGCTGTGCGTGGCCATGTGCTGGAGGAAGGGGGAGTTCACCCGGTAAGTGTGTAGCACGAGAACGCGAAGATCGCGCAGGTGGGGAAGAAGGATTGGAGCTGGGTAGGTTCCTGAGTTGTCGTAGTATGTGCGCCAAGGGTGCTCTTCCTCGATGCATAACGACTGAATACCATCCAGTGGAACGGCCCGTATGGAATCGGGCCAGAAAGGGAGGATGAACTTGATTGATAAAGTATATGGTATTGTGTCGGTCTCCCGGGTGTGATTTGGTGACGTATGTACGAGCATATCCTCGGACCAGTTGAAAGATATCTCAGTTCGTGAGGCCGTGAGCATCAAAGCGGACAATCGCCTCGCCTGATGAAGCTGCTTCGTGCGATGAGAGATGCGCGTATGAACGACATCGCGAAGCAGTTCCTCGTACTGGCTGATCGTCTCGATATCATCCAGACTGGGCTGGTCGATACACCACGTCAACTGTGCAGGCTCTGGAGCCGACAGTGCCTCCCAGAATGCACGGGCCGCATACGGCGAGCATAATAGCTCCAGAGAATTCAACCGGGGCCATACAAGCGACTTCGCTGGCGGCAACGCGTCTCCCGGACTAGGATCACGAACTTTGATAGCAACTTCACGTAGATTCGGCATGTCAGTGAGGGCGCCGCGCATATCGGCTAAATGCAGATCCTCAAGATGCAGGCTTCCGAGCTGACCAAAGGCGACTCTCGGAGTTTCCCAGTCCAGTCGCAGGCCGCGAATATCCAGGAGGTGCAAGGCAGGCAGAGACGGCAGGGTTGCACCGTGCAACGCTCCGAGCTGGTGTGGTGAGTCGCTTTCCGAATAATCGTGCAGGTGAAGACCGCGCATCGCCGGCATAGGCTGTCGCAGTATGTTGCCGATATACTGGTACGCCGTAGCCCATCGAACGGAGCCGACAACACTGCGTATATTGAGGTATTTCGTGTGGTAGATGTGCCCTTGCAAGGCAGCGATGCATTCCAGATCATCCGTCTCAGTGTTCACAAAGACAACGAGCGGCGCCTCGCGGGACCTCTCGAGTACAAGTCGCAGGTACGTTGGATTGGGCATCAGGATGTGGGTCCAGTAGAGCGGCGACGCAAGGCAGAGCGCACGCCATTTCCGGCACACGGCTGGGATGGACAACCACGCGGTGATATCGACATCATTCACCCTGAAAGGCTTGTGGTGCATGAAGACATGCGATAGTATTTCATCAGGTAAGCTCTGTACAGTCGTCTGGTGGTGCATCGCGAAGAGCTTCTGCAGAACCAAGATGGAGGTCGCGGTTCGAAGGCACGAGGCGGAGGCGCGGTCTCGGCCTGGGAATATACGGACACGTCATATAAATGGCACAAATTCTTGCGCTCGCGTTTCTTCTTCGTGCGGCGACATGGCTATACTTTTCCCCAATTGTTGCTCATGACTGCCTTATCCTACGCGGTCGTTGGAGTGTCAAGCCATGCCCAGAGAAACACGGGACGTCTCAGTACCCTATGTTCGCTAGCCGTCGGCCGGAAACGGTCCAATGGGCAGTGAACGGGTCGGTGGTCTCGCACACACACGCTCGCGTGTCCGTGCTTTCATTGTTCGGAGAGATGGTTGAGGAAGGAGGGAGGAGTGTTACATATATCGGGCCTTTGTACGCAGTGCTACCAAATATCATCTTTCCTTGCTTTCGGAAATTTTGTCCGACTTTTCGGTTGAAATATCCGGCATGCCGATAATCTCAAGTTGACTCGAGAATCCGATCGCGATATCTACGCCAGGATACATCTTATCTCCAGACTGCCATGTCTGCCTACGGACCACAGCCTACGCGCCCCGATCGCCCCCTCCTTCCCTCGACAGCTTGGCACCTTGCTCCCGCCAAACTTGGCAAACCCGCGAGCCCGTTCTCGTTTCTGACTCTGCACCATCTTACTGCATCAACGGCGCGATCCATCGACGGGCTCATTGATTATACGCACTCGGTCTTTGCTGCCGAGGTCGAGTCGGGCTTGACCTATCCGCAAGAGGTCGCATACGGCGAGCAGTATACACGTGAAGCATTCGAAGCCTACATTTGGGGAGCGGATGTCATTCTCGCGATCGGTGTCACTGGTGATACTGCGAGCGTAGCAAACGGTGCTAGTGTCGACATTGGCGTCGAAGAGGCGAGAGGTGGTAGAACCTGGGATGAGTCCCTTGTCGGGTTCTACTATGTGAAGCCCAACTACCCCGGTCGCTCTTCGCATGTGAGCATGCCTATCAAATTGATTTGTGCTTCTCTCATGTATCTGAATGTCTAGATCTGCAACGCTGGTTTTGTCATTACGCCCGCTCATCGCCAATTTGGCTACGGCAAAGTTCTGGGCACATCGTATCTGCACTATGGGCCTGCACTCGGCTTCAAGGCAAGCGTGTTCAACTTGGTGTACACGTCAAATGTTGGAAGTCTGAGGTACGCAACGGTCATATACACATCATGAGTGGATAACTGACTACTGTCTGAATAGGATCTGGGACTCTCTTGGATTCCAGCGCGCTGGTCTCATCCCCCGCGCTGGCCGGCTACGAAAGCCGGACGGCTCGGGAGAGGTCTGGACAGATGCTGTAGTCTTCTACAAGTCCTTCATACCGGACGAGGAGTGGGCATAGTTGTCTAAGACGAGCTAAAAGGTTATAGTGAGGCGCTCAGAGAAGCCGCGTGCGGGGCTAAGGGCCTCTGTGGTACGTCTTGAGTTTGATGAAGTATGACTTAGTCTACGCGAAGAGCATACATATCTGTCGCGGAGCATGCACAGATCATATCTGTACGAACCATATGAATACGACTACCCATCGCTCAAAGCGACTGTGAAGCAGAGGCAAGAGAACATCTGAGGTCGGCGCTCCGCCGTGTCTCGCAGTCAAGACACGGTCACCTGCAGACCGTCGGTTGCCTCCGTCCATCACTCTCACCCCGCGCCCGCCGGCAGAAGACACAGCTGTTTTCCCACTTACGACCAATCCGACTCGATGGTCGAGAAAGTAGTTCCGCTCGAACTCTATGACGATGGTGATTGGCCCGCAGAACGCATTAGCGCCCTTGTTCGTGGTCACGAGTGCTTCCCCACATCGAGTTCGGTTACGCCTTCCCCGGACTCCGAACCCTGAGCGATATAAGCAGCTCGACGATCTCCTGTCAATTGAGGACCTGAACCATCACCTGCGCTTCCTTGCCACATCGCTAGCTCTTTGGCCGTCATGACTATCTACACGTCTGCCTGGCCGTCGGTGCCAGTGCCCAACCAGTCCCTGTACACGTGCATGTTCTCGCAACATTTCGACCCCGCATCAGTAGCCTTCACGGACGCGCTCACTGGAAATACGCTCAAGCGTGCCGAGTTACACGATTTGACACTACAAGTCGCGCACAGTCTGCGCACCCAGCTTCAGGTCACGCGCGGAGACACTGTGCTCATATTCTCGCCAAACTCCCTTGCATGGCCTATCGCACTGCTAGGTGTAATTGCCGTCGGTGGACGCGCGACACTCGCCAACTCCGCGTACACGCCTCAGGAGCTCGCACACCAGTACACCGACTCGCGCGCGCGCGTCATATTCGTACACCCAGATCTCGTCCCCACGGCCTTGGCGATGTTCAAGTCTATCGGTGTGCCGAAGGATGAGGCGAGCCGCAGGATTGTAGTGATGGAGATTGGTCGCACCACTCGTGATGGGATACGCGGGCTGCAGGACCTCGTTGGCAAGGGCGCTCTGAAGAAGGAGGAGGCGTTTGACGGCGAGCTTGCGAATGAAACAGTTCTCTTGTGCTACTCGTCAGGAACAACGGGCAAGCCTAAAGGAGTTGAGGTACGTCTCGTGTTCGTTGGCTTTAATGGGAATGAACCTGAAACGGCTTGCAGACGACGCATCGCAATCTGACGGCTATGCTTGTCATGCTCGACAGTATGAAAGTCACTTCGGCAGAGAAGGACGTCATCATTGCTACTCTACCCTACTATCACATATACGGTGAGGATCGAGCCGCACATGGCATGCGTTTTGGTTTCGCTCATCATGTGGTTGCATATAGGTGTCGTGCAGTTGCTATTCTACGAGCTGTTCATCGGCGTGTCCACGATCATCCTTCCCAAGTTTAACCCCGAAGACTTCTGCGCAGCTATCGAACGTTTCAAGGTCACGACAGCCTTCATCGTACCGCCCATCGTGCTCGCACTGGTACATCACCCAGGTACGTCTGCTCGGCTTGGTGAAGATGTGATGGTGAAGCTGACGCTATCTCTAGCCGTCGAGAAGTACAATATGAAGAGCTTGGTATACATCTCTTCCGGTGCGGCACCCCTGAGCGCCGACCTTGTCGCGGCAGCACGTACCCGTCTCGGCAACATCGCAGTCGGCCAGGGCTACGGCCTAACAGAAACTTCACCTGTCACGCACATGGTACCTCGGCCAGTCGCAGCAACCACCAACAAGATCGGCACAGTGGGTCTGCTCGTACCAAATCTCGAAGCCCGTTTGGTGGTCGCCGAGGGTCCAGATGGAGAGGGAACCGAGGACGCGAAGGTTGGAGAACCGGGTGAGGTTTGGGTGAGGGGCCCCAGCATCATGAAGGGCTACTTGAACAGACCGGATGCGACTGCAAATTCGATCACGCCCACGGGATGGTTCAAAACGGGAGATATTGGAATCGTTGACCAGGATGGGTTCTTCTCCATCGTTGACCGCAAGAAGGAGCTTATCAAGTACAAGGGTTTCCAAGGTACGCTGGTCGCGTCTCAATTCGGACAAGTGCTCGTCCTCACCGCGATGCAGTGCCGCCAGCTGAGTTGGAGGGCATCCTTCTTCAGCATTCAGACATCGTAGATGCAGCTGTGATCGGCATTGAAGATCCGGCGCAAGCGACTGAGCTCCCACGGTACGATCAGATCTCCTTTGTACGCGTCGCCATCTGCTCAACACTCTCGTAGCGCATACGTCGTGCACAAAGATGGTCTGACTCGCGCCCCGAAGTCTTTCCCTAAAGATGTGCAGCAGTGGATCGCAGGGCGCGTCGCGAAGCACAAGTTCCTTCGTGGCGGTGTTGTAGTTGTGGACATCATACCAAAGAGGCGAGCGCTCATCCGGTCACGGTCACCCTGCGCATGCTGACAAACCCCTTTCAGCGCCGCTGGCAAGATCTTGCGCAGAGAGCTGCGCGAGCGCGCAAAGCTGGAAGTCGGCAAGATCAAGGCGAAGTTGTAACATTCTAGTCTCAGAATTTGTATATCCTTGTATCATACCTCACAGTGCTACTAGATAGAGCATGGTTTCCAATACATTCACTATCGATAACCAATACATGATCTCAACTTCCTCCTTCCTTCAGCCAAGCAACGAGCTTGACCAAGCGCTCCTTCCGCATGGGAATCCAGAGCGTCTCACCGGCTCCCATAGCGCCCGTGCTCGCCGTAACCACTAGCCCATGATCCCTGAACTCTCCAAGCAGCGCGCGAAGAGCGCCGTCGGAAGTCGCGACGAAGTTGTCTCTCGCGAGCGCGAAGAGACGGTCGTACGGGATACCCTTCTCCTTGTCGCCATCCTCTCCTGCCTTTGCCGCATCGCCTTCTGCAGACTCGTCCGCCTCTTCTGCTAGTTGGTGTGCTGCTACAATGTCGAATAATTTCTTTGCTTTCGCCGTCACGCTCAGCAGGACGTGTTGTGCGGCACTCTCCGTCATTTGAGCCTGGCCTGCGCCTGGACCCTCAACGCCTGGTACGGGATCTGCCGTGGTACGCGCGGCGCGAAGAGATCCGGGATCCGCGAACGCGAGTTCGGCGAAGTATGGCGCGAGTGTGGTCAAGTCGTGCCAAAGCCATGCACCTCGCTCGGCGGATGACGAACCACCAGTAGAGGCTGCCGATGAGGAGAGAAGGGAGGAGGATGAGAATAGCAAGGGTGCGTTGAGATGGTCCAATGAGGCCAAACAGCGCACGTTTTGCGCAGAGATGAGTTGATCCAGAGCCGCGCGTGCCTTGCCACCACGAATGGCAGGCGCGTCGAAGTTGTGTATGACAAGATAGAGTGGTTTCTGGGCTTTTGCTTTACCCTTTCCCTTCTTCGTCTCCGTTGGTTGGTCGAAGTGAAGAGCCGCACGTTCAAGGATCGTGCCAGAGACATCATCGTCGGACTCGGTGGGAAGCAGTTGCTCTAGCGCCGGATAGATGTCCTTCAACGCGAAATGGGGGTTGAAGGCGTTCAGTACGATGATATGGCCTTTCTTCCGTAGTCTGCGCGTGACGAAGTCGTTCAAGGCGCCTCTCTTCGAGCCCATGCCATAGAAGAGTAGATTGAAGCCAGCGTCAAGTTCACGTTCCCATCGCGAGTACTCAGAAGGTATCGTTTGCGCCACCTTTGCAGGCAACTCCGAAGCCGGAGTCTTTGCCAGATAGTCCGAGGGCGCCGATAACGCCTCGGTAAACTCGTCCGAAGTCAGAGGTTGTACGAGTTGAGTGAAGACATTTGTAGACGTTCTTGACGGTTGGGCGTTTGCGGAAAAGTACGCGTCGAATGCCGGGATACCACGATCTTCGTCTGCAACATTTGCATGTTGTGAGCCACGTTGTTTAGCTGCAAGTCGTTTCCTGGGGGACTTCGATGGAGATGAGGGCGCATAGTCCGTTTCGAATTCGGTCTCAGCATAGAGATCAGAGAGTGCATCTGACGACGCGTTATATGTCCTATAGGAGCGAACACTTGGCGACCGACGCATATCCAGATGGGCTCCAGGAGATGGATGGCGAAACAAGAGATACGTCGCGGTTAGAGAAAGAGGATGATACTGGATGCGCGGTGGTGGCGGCGAGTAAACAGCGTCCAGAACCTCACGTGGGCGCGACGTTACGGCGCAACTGGCTGCATTGCTCGCAACTGCGTCTTGTTCTCGACTCCCATTGTCGAACGTGTACAACCTGCCTGCTATTCAATGGACGTCTGGGCCAACTTGGGCACTTGAGCTCTCCCTAGAACGCCGTCTTCAATTTCAGCGTATTCGTTGAGCGTCCTTGGAAGAGGTGCAAGCGCCGCCTCTGGCCGTTTTCATGGATCACACACGCTATGACCTCAGGACACTCATCGATTATCCGAAGCTTAACCTTATCTGCATTCGCAGACTTGTCAGTCTGCCTGCACGAGTGCTTACATACCTGACCGGGAGGTACTGGTTGTCGGTGGGTATAGCACGGCTAAGAGATGGCCCGTTCGCTGCTAGTTTCTCCGAGATTCCGCCTGTATGCGGGCACGCGCTGCCACAAGCGGTCTCGAAGGCTCGCATTGGGCTCGCACGAGCGGATGTCTGCTCCTAGTCAAGCTGGCGTGTATTACTTTCTGTGACCTCGTCAGCGCTACATATACACCGCACGCGTTTTTGGACGCCCCTTCTCCCCCCGGTCACTGATACGACTTTCCTGCTCACGACATTCTCGGTCATGGCCTCTCTAGAACCGGTGGTGCCCGAAAAGCTCAGCCAGGATACGCCCGAGATACTCGACATTCCTGAACTTGTACAAGACGGTGGTGATGGCACGCGCGACACATCAGCCACACAGCGTGGACTATCGCGTATACTGGAAAGGTCTGTCCTTTATACACATTCTCTTTTGCAATCTACACGATAAACCTGACCATTACTTCTCAGAATGAAGAAGAGCACCACTGGGTCGCAAGCTCCTCCGCCGATGGGAGATATGGACGACGCTACATTGATACCGGAGGCCAACGCTAGCTTCCTTAGCTTGACGACCTTTCAATGGATCAGCCCGCTTTTAACGCTCGGATACGCTCGTCCATTACAAGCCACCGACCTGTGGAAGCTGGACGATAGCCAATCCTGTGCTGTCATCGCAGAGAGGATCGTTGCATCGCTCGACGCACAGCGCTCGCAAGCGGAAGGCCGTGGTAGCAAGGTTGTGCCTTCTATTTGGCGGCGCTTATGGTGGACGATGTCGGGCAATCGCCTCGACAGAGAGAACCAGTGGCGGGAGGAAGTCAACAAACAGAAGACCAGTCTACTTTGGGCGATGAACGATTCGGTGAGGTGGTTATTTTGGTCGGGTGGCATCGTCGGATGTATCGGAGAGACTGCACAGCTCCTGGAACCTCTGTTGCTGAAGGTGGGCATAGTTTCAAGTGCCCTGGACATGGCTGACACTGTTCGCTAGAAACTCGTGAACTTCGTCGACACGTCTTATTCAGCCCACCATGCCGGCGAGCACCTGCCTTCCGTTGGTGTAGGCGTCGGTTATGCCTTTGGTATCCTCGGACTTCAATTGCTCTCTTCGGTCTGCATCAATCACTACTTCCATCGGAGCTCTGCTACGGGCGTCTTTCTTCGTGGTGGACTCATCAATGCGATCTATAATCGGTCCCTGCATCTCACGACTCGCGCTCGAGCAACGCTCCCGAACGGGAAACTTGTCAACCACATCTCTACAGATATATCCGTATGTGGCTCGCCGAACTCTCGCTTGTGATAGGCCCTGATGTGTTCCCTAGCGCATTGACTACGCCTGCGGCCAGTTCCACTTCATTTGGATCTGTCTGGTCGTTCTCGTTGTCGGCATCATCCTCCTCGTAATCAACCTTGGCCCGAGTGCGCTTGCGGGAGTTGCGTTCTTCCTGCTTATCTCACCATCACAAGCCTGGTTTATGGAGGCTTACCTCGCATTGCGCCGCAAGACGATGGTCTGGACGGATAAGCGCGCGAAGCTTCTTCACGAGGTGCTCTCTGGGATGAAGATCATCAAGTTCTTTGCCTGGGAGGACGCACTGTTGGAGCGTATCGCGGACTATCGCACAAAGGAGATGCAGTAAGATCCCCTCTTTATTTGGCCTGTGCACCTTCTGACGCTTGTCATCAGCTACATCAGTTACCTGCTCACGGTCCGTTCCGCCAATGCAGCCCTAGGTGTTTCCGCTCCAACCATCGCGACCGTGATCACCTTCCTGGTCTACGTAGCATCGGGTCATAAGCTTGCTGCGGGCGATGTCTTCTCCTCGCTCTCCCTCTTCGCACTACTACGATTCCCCGTGGTTGTCATTCGTACGTTATCATGCACACCGTACATGTTCAGCATACTGAATGCCTGTGATGGCTTCATTAGCTCTCGCGCTTAGCGCAACGGCTGATGCCTACAACGCCATTAGTCGTCTTCAGGGCGTGTTCGAGGCTGAGCTCAAGACCGAAACCCTTGAAGTTGACCCCACAATGAAGCACGCTGTCCAAGTTGAGAATGCCTCTTTCATATGGGATGCTCCTCCGTCTGGCGTCGAGGATAAGACGGGCGAGAACAAGGAAGAAATCTCCGACAAACGGTTCGAGATCACGGGTGTCAACTTGGAGATCTCGCGTGGCTCTCTTGTGGCAATCGTGGGCCCTGTAGGCTCGGGGAAGACGTCTTTGTTGCAGGGTTTGATTGGGGAGATGCGCAGAACGGCCGGTTCGGTCAAGTTTGGCGGAGAACTGGCTTATTGTGCGCAGGATGCTTGGATTCAGGTATGCTGTCTCGATAGCACAAGCCATCAAACGTGCATCACCGCTCACCCCAAGATAGAACGCGACCATCCGTGATAACATCTGCTTCGGCCGTCCGTTCGAAGAAGAACGTTACTGGAAAGGTGAGCCAAATAACTACCGAAAAGACGTCCTTAATACGCTCCATCAGCCGTCCATGATGCTTGTCTGGATGCCGATCTCGACGTACTGCCCGTTGGAGACTTCACTGAGGTCGGCGAAAAGGCGCGTCTGCCGACATGTTTTCGTTCTCCTCGCGTGGTGACTGACTAGCTACCACAGGGCATCTCATTATCCGGAGGTCAGAAGCAGCGTGTGAACATCTGCCGCGCAATATACGCAGACGCTGCCGTCACCATTTTTGACGACCCACTGTCGGCGCTTGACGCCCATGTTGGAGAGTCGGTCTTCAATAACATTCTCGTCGGCGAACGTGGGGACAAAACTCGTATCCTCGTCACGCATGCGCTGCACTTCCTCTCCCAAGCGGACTACATATACTGCGTGATCGATGGGCGCATCGTCGAGCAAGGATCTTACGCGGGGCTGCTGGCCGCGAACGGTACCTTCGCGTCGCATATTGCGGAGTTCATCTCGAATGACAAGGAGGATGACGAAGATAAGAACGAGGAGGCCATTGAGGAAGCGCCCGTCTCGGGATCTCGGCCGGAAGACAATAGACGCCAGCAGACAACGGAAATCAAGGGTGAAGCGCTCCTGCAACAGGAGGAGCGCAGTACTGGGGCCGTAGCCTGGGACGTCTATACGGCCTATCTGAAGGCGGGAAATGGTTTCATCACCGTCCCCTTACTGCTGGGCACCTTTGTACTCATGCAAGTCGCGACGGTCTTGTCGTCATATTGGTTGGTCTGGTGGGAGAATGGGTACGTTCGCCGCTCTCTGACCTGAGATTTACGTCTGACTCTGGATACAGAACATGGGGAAAACCGCAAGGCTTCTACGTGTGCCCTACCGCTTATATCACTTTGAAATGACTGCTGAATCTATTGTTCAGATGGGGGTCTATGCCGCATTGGGAGTCGCTCTTGCCGTGACTGCTTTCATCAATGGCGTTGTTTTTGCAGCTCTCGTTTACTCTGCTTCTCGCAACCTTCACCGCGATGCCATCACACGCATCATGCATGCACCTATGAGTTTTTTTGATCAGAACCCGCTAGGCATGCCTCTTCTCCGTTAAGGCGATGGTAGCGCGCTGACTCGTGTACAGGACGTATCATGAATCGCCTCTCGAAAGACATCGACACAATGGACAACACTTTGTCAGGTGGGATACGGCATCTTACTACTTCGAGAGTACTCCAGTGGCTGACATTAATCATAGATACCGTACGCATGTTCTTGACGACCATGGCGAACATCATCGGCGCCATGATATTGATTGCGATTGTGACCCCATGGTTTCTCATTGCGCTCGGTTGCGTTCTCATCCTCTACGGTTTGACCGCCTTCTTCTACCGCCGAAGCGCGCGCGAGATCAAGGTGTGTGACAGATCACTTCAGCCCCGCGTTGCATAAAACTCATGAGTGCCTGCAGCGTTTGGACGCGATCTTACGCTCAAGTCTTTACGCGCACTTCTCTGAGAGTCTCTCCGGTCTATCGACGATTCGCGCCTACAGGGAAGAGGAACGCTTTGCTGTAGACAACAAAAAACATATTGACAACGAGAACCGGCGAGTGATGGTGCCTATCATCCTACGTCTGTTTGTCTGAAACGTCCCACAGGGCTTATTAGAGACATTCCGCACACGGTGGCGAGCTCGGCTCGACCGAACGCAGAGCGACTGCGGATGCTCCACCACTGTTTGCGATGGCCTCGGAACGGCCACTCGCGCAGGCTTGAGCGGTCTATAAGGTCCGAGCGACCGTCGAGGCGACGCTCCAACCCGCACCACGACTGGAGTGAGCGAACGGCCAAATTACCGTGTGCGGAATGTCTCTATTACCTCACCGTTGTGAACCAGCGCTGGCTTTCTCTCCGCTTGGATCAGCTTGGGGCAGCGCTCACCTTCGTCATCTCCATGCTGGCGCTCGGAAAACGCACATCCATCTTGCCGGCGCAAACTGGGCTCGAGCTATCATATATCCTTGCTGCTCAGCAGTTCTTCTCGTGGACCGTCCGGCAACTCGCTGACGTGGAGAACGAGATGAACTCCGTTGAGCGCATCGTGCACTACGCGCGTGGAGTTGAGCAAGAAGCTCCGCATAGGCTTCCGGCAGCCAAGCCGGCATCACCTTGGCCGAGCGCTGGCCGCATTGAAATGGATGGCGTCGCGCTGAAGTACAGACCAGAGTTGCCACCAGTCTTGAAGGGCTTGAGCATGTCGATCAAGGGGGGTGAGAAGATCGGTATCGTCGGGCGTACGGGCGCAGGAAAGAGCTCTATCATGAGTACGTGACCATTGCGCCGTTCGACGAAGTTGTGCTTACATCTCTTGTAGCCGCCCTCTTCCGCATCGTCGAACTTTCAGGTGGAAAGATCGAGATCGATGGTGTGGATATCTCAAAGATTGGTCTGACCGATCTCCGCCAGGCGCTTTCAATCATACCTCAGGAAGCGCAGCTCTTCTCTGGTACACTGAGGAGCAACTTGGATCCCTTCGGTCGACACGACGACGCGCGGCTATGGGATGCACTAAAGAAGTCCCACCTCGTCGATGATGGCCCGAGCACAGATCTGAACGAGAAATCGGCAGTTCCCGCCGGTGCTTCAACGCCAAATCCTGCTTCGAAATTCACGCTGGATAGTCCGATCGACAGCGAGGGTTCAAACGTGTCCGTTGGTCAACGCTCGCTCGTCTCACTTGCGCGTGCTCTCATCAAGGACTCGCGTATCTTGATCCTTGACGAGGCGACCGCATCCGTTGACTACGAGACCGACCGCAAGATCCAGGAAACGATTGCGACGGAGTTCAAGGATCGCACGATCCTTACTATCGCTCGTACGTCTTATATCTTCTGCTTGCATGATATCAGCCTGACAGTTGTGTGTACAGATCGTCTACGTACCATCATCTCCTATGACCGTATCTGTGTCATGGATCAGGGCCTCATCGCCGAGTTCGACACGCCCTCGTCGCTTTTCCTGAAACAGAATGGTATATTCCGTGGGATGTGTGAGCGTTCAGGGATCACGCTTGAAGACATCAGGATGGCGGTGAAGGAAAGCGAGACGTGAAGTGTATTGCTGGTATCAAGTAGGATCGTAGTCGTGTACTTATCGATTCAATCATGAACGTGAACCCAACACGATGCAGCGCCAAATGGCTGTATGAGACGAACCGTCACAGCGTTACTGATGGCGAAGACGGCGCTAAGTTTGTGCTGGCAGTCCTGGCTGCAGCTTGGTCATGACCATCATCGCCGTCTCGTATATCGCTGCTCCTACGATGTACCCAAGACTATCTGCCGGCGATAGCACGCAGCATGCTTCATAACCACCTCGAAAGGGAACAATAGCGGCGCCAAGCTCCCGGATGTTAGTGTCTGATTGAGGTACAAAGCAAGTCTCGCCAAAAGCCGCGTGGTTCGGTGGTTCGCACAAAAGAACTTGCTTATACCTCTGAAATCGCTCTTTTCCTGCGACCATCATCACCGTACTCTCAACTGGGCTGTTACTCTCGACGGAGTTGCTTCTACATATTCAAATGACGAACCTAAACACGGATGATCTCCGCGGTCTATCGCGTCGCGAGTTGCAGCATCTCGCAAAGGTGCGCACTGCGTCACCCGACTCACTCTCTATACTGACGACACCCTCTACTATAGTCTCATAGCCTGAAGGCGAACGGGTCTTCCACGCAGATCATAGAGGCGTTGTGCGACCGCTTTCCCGACGGTGTGCCACAGTCGAAGCGGGGTCTCTCGCCAACCACAGCCATCTCACGCGGGAGGAGCGCACCGAGCCGCCGCGCAAAAGCTGCATCTCCCGTATACCACCAATCCGTCAATCAAGAGCCGCATAGCCCGGCTCGGCATGCACCGCGCTTCCTGGATAAGGCCGACCCAGAACGACTCAGCGCTTCGAATGGTTCGCGACTACCCCCTCTGCCTGAACCACAGGTGTTGCGGCCCGAGGATGCCGTCGTCTTGGAGAATACGGAGGAGATATTGCGTCAGATGATGAAGGAGTTGCAAGAAGCACGAGAGGCGAGCAAGCGGCTCGAATCGGAGAACGCCGCCTTGCGCGTACAGCTGGCGCCACCCGTCTCGACGAACGCGCTACAGCTTGGCGATGAAGGAGAGGCTGGGCCTTCCTCTTCGCAGGCTACGGAGTATGTCTCCGTTTCGGCGGACTCCACAGCTACCGCTGCTGGCCAACCGATGACACCCACCTCACTTCAGCAGTCCCAAGTTCCCTTACCCAACGTAACTGCCCCTTCGTCCGCTCCTGTAGGGAATGGTCAGGCTTCTTCGTCTCAGCCAACCTCTGCACACCCGCGACGTCCTCCGTCGCCCGTCGGCCTCTCCCGGATATCGCGCATCAACGAGGAGCTTGACAACCTCCGCATATGCCGCCAGACGTCGGTGACCATTCTGACTTATGCGCTAGCGCAGGTCGCAATGGAACAGGCTGAGATCAGTGGCAGACCGAGTAAGGAGTTGGAGGAGCGCCTGAAGAATGCGGAAAAGGACATGGAGGTGGAAATCCCGAGGAGGTTCAATCTCGATCGTTACCAACGTCTTGCTAAGAATGAGCACGAGGAGGCGGCGCTGGAGAAATTCAGGAAGTTGCATACCTACGGGGAGTTGATCTGGAATGTGGGGGAGAAGGTGCTGGAGACCTACCCTCATAAGCCACCGCCACGCACGGACGAGGAGAGAGCGAACTATGTCCGCTTCCGCGACCGAGCAGTGCGCAAGGACGAACCTACCCTCACGCTGTTCCACGTAGATCCCAATCCCGACATTTATCGCGTAGTGGAGGAGGACCTAGGCGATGAAGACTATCTGCCGCCGTCATACGATGACCCGGAGTACGACGCAACCTCCGACGCCACGCCGAGCGAACTCGACGATGTAGAGATGCAAGACATCGATATGTCTGTAGAGGATGATCTGGTTCTGGGGGTTGAAGGCCAGGGAATCGACGCGCATTTGTCCGACTTGGCTGTCACCATGCGGGGAGCGCCGCCGAAGCACACCCTTGAACCTACTCGTGCGAACATACCCGACGTTCAGGGCTACATCCACTTGCCGCAGGGGCGAAGGACGCGCGCCTGCTGGATCCCCGTCAGAGAAAAGGAGCGGGTGTGGGTCAGATGTGACCAGGAGGTGTGCACGCACGGCATGAGTGAACCCACGGATCCGAAGGGTAAAAAACCCCAGACCCAAGTGCCGTGTTACTTCTTTGATGATCTCCCGGAGATCGCGGGACGACCAAAGCCGAAGGGGAGATGGGTCGAGAGGGACGTCGACTTACTGGAGGGTGGGAAGTATACCGCAGACTGTATCAAGGACATGAGCGATTCTCGGGACGGCCTTTACGGCGCCCCCTGGCCTGTCGTACCGGGATGGAAGCAGCGTCTGGAGAGAGTCCCGACATGGGAGCATAACTAGGTCTGCCGTCTCATCTGTATGAATCTGCTGTACTTCTTTACCCTTTGCGTTTTCCCATGTCGCTTCTCTCTGTACTCTACCTATTAACGCTGATAAACTCGCGCAACGATGACGACACCATGCTGAATGTTGTCCAGCAGTGCGCCTGCGCTCGGTCGTCGCCATTCTGGGACGTGTTCCCTTCGAGATGTCCCTGTAAGCTCGCACTCTACTGACAAGTGTATCCTTGTCATAAGCCTTTCGCCCTGCGACCAGACTGCGTACGAGAGTGAATTGACGCGTTGGGTCACAGGTGACGTGACGCGTCGCTTGAGTACACGCCGCGGCCCCGGCGGTCGCGATTCTTGGTGTGGTTTCTGTGGTTTGTCCCGCGGAGAGCACGTGCTTAAACCATATGAAGTACCAGGTTCTGGAGTGGCTTGCAACTTGTCTCCCTCCATCACCGTCTCGCGCCAGGGCAACAGTGCCCACGCGTAGCATCGAGCGGTATTCCTACCGTCACGGTGTTCTCTCGAGTCGTCGAAGAGTGAGATATTCCGTGCAGCCTGCTAGCAGACTCTACGTACTGACACGAACTGCAGGAAGAAAGGGCCACCACGCACCACCGCTTGCATTTCTACGAGCTCCTCTCACCTTACAGTGAGCAGACTGAACCACGATGATTTGCCCTCACCCGCTCATTGACCGTGGATAGGACCATGGCAATGGCCTCCACCACGACTACTGACGCAAACGCATCGCCACCCACTCCATTCTACCTCTCACCGCTTTCCCACTTCCTCCTCCGAGGCATTTACTCGGAGGGTAAGAAGAGTTACGAGCGACTATGGCACAAGCGCGATCAGGCCTTCATTGCGGCTCACCCATCCGCTTTCGACGCCGCGCAACCCAAAATCATTCCTCGTCTGGATGACGGGAAGAAGATGGTGGGGAGATTTCGGAAACGCATACGGAGACCCTGGATTAGAACGTGGTATATCGTGCAGAAGTTTCACTGCCCCTTCAGCAAGATAAAGCGCATACATGGCCCCAGTAAACTTCGCCTCGAGATTACTGCCGACGAAGCCGAATGGTCTGCCGTAGACTTTACGCCCATACGTTCGATGCTTCTCATCGATGGTCGCCGCGATCCTATGAAAGACCTATGGCTATACCAGATCGTTCGGGGCAAGAAAACGTTGGTTCTCGTGCGTGTGTACGTGAAAAGGTTGCGGAAGGTCCCGAAGGATAACGACGCCGAGATGTGGGAGGATTTGTTCGGGAGGTATAAGGAAGATAGGTCACTTTTGGGAGACAATGAGAGGGCGTTGGATAGGAGGGGATGCTGGAGGGATGGGAGGGTGGTCCAGGTTGTTGATGACGAGATCTTCCCGGGATGGGGGGAGAAATACGATGAGGAGTACGATGAGGAAGAGGATTATCGTGAGAATGCGGCGCTCATCGACATCGAGAATGCGCTCCCGTCCTCAAGCGCCGTTACAGAGACTACCTGCGACCTTTCGACTGCCACTGAAACTGCAGTAAAGAAGCGTCGGCGGGATGATAGCGATGATCAGGGAGATCAGGGTTCGACGATGGCTATCATCAAGAGGACGCGCGTATTGTGAGGAAGGACTAGGACACCCTCATGCATACTTCTCCACATAGCGATTTTCCATATAGTGTTGGGCACTGCCGAGTCAAGCTGTATCATAACACACCGTATATTGTATATCGTACACTGATGCAAGAGGCTTGAGCGAGATTTTGGTTCTCCTTCGTACTCTCGCGGAAGACTCTGAAGTTGCTTACCAGCTAGAAAGTACTATGCCTTTCAAATGAGAGGGCCTCACATCTGGCTTCGTACGGTTGCGAGGCCAGACGCGTTTCGTCACGGATGTGACCCGACGTGCAAGCTGCCATTTCCCGCGAGATGTTTTCGCGAGACGCGCTTGTCATCGACCTCCATGGCCTTGTCCACCCCTCGAGCATACGCAAGCTGACCTCAGTTACCAATCGATTTTTTCCCCGGCTGGGCTTTTGTGTCTGTCGGTCGATCAATGCCTACAACGCGTCAACAATAATCCACTCTCAATTGATTACCCGTGTGGTTGTTCTCGCAAACCACGCCCCCATCAGGCGTGACGGCGTCTCAAATCCCGAATTCTGGAGCTCTCCGCGACTTGTCTCTTTCTACCACTATCGTGTGGCGGTCGAAGGTCTCTACGGTCAACGCGAGCAAGGCGACTGGCTCCTTTGCCGAGAGTCCTCAGGGCGTTCAAACGTGACATTCACGGTGCACTTCAGTTAACGACCGTGCAAATTAACGTATTCCGCAGATATCGTACTTCCTCAACTGTTCGTCGCTGGCCGCTTCTCGTGGTCTAACCGGATCCTACGCACACTTAATCGACCACGATGACCGCAACCACAACCACGGCCCTGTCAGCGCCACCAGTCATCCCCTTCTACCTCTCGCATCTCTCCCCCTTCTTTCTCCATTACGTCTTCTCGACCAGCAACAGTCATTTGAGGCAATTACTATGGGAACATAGCCAGGTCGTCGTGGACACTTATCCAGCCGCATTCGGTCGTCAAACCCCCAAACTCGTACCTAGTATCGAGGACGGCAAGAACATGGCGGAACGATACCGCAAGCGCAACTTTGAGCCTTCGACTCAGATGGCTCAATTGATTCGAAAGTTTCAGAAGCCTTATGGCATGTTGAAGCGCGTGCACGGGCGGAGTAAACTTTGTATTGAGATCATACCTGGCGAGGGTGAGGATGGCGAGGCCAATGAGGAGTTGGACATCAACTACAGACCTGTGCGGTCCACGCTCAGGCATCATATGGCGACATACGAAGGAGAGAGCCGGTTGTACCAGATGACGAGGGAGGGAGAGGTGTTGCTTGCCGCACGCCAATGGAGGGAAGACCCGCGCAAGGTGCCGCCTAACAATGATGCGAAGGTCTGGGAGGATCTCTTCGGCAAGTTTCGGCATGGGAAGTCGCTTTCGGGCAAAAGGGAGAAGGCTTTGAGTAGGCGGGGCTGCTGGAGGAATGGAAAAGTTGTGAGTGTTGTTGACGATGAGATCTTTCCGGGATGGGGAGAGAAGTGGGAGGTTGATGAGGACGGTGGGGAGGCCCCGAGGTCCATCGACGCCGACTCGGCCGACACGCTACTTGCAAATGCCAGCAGGGTGAAAGGGGTCGAAAGTCTTGGAATGCAAACCTTGAGGCTGGGAGAGAAGCGCCAGCGCGACGAGGATGATGCTAGCGAAGAGCATATGGGTGCCGTCAAGAAGCCCCGCACGGCATGAGACTGTATGGGGACGGACTATTTTTCATTGCATAGGTTACCCCGCATAGTACTATACTTCTACTTTAAGAGCTGTATCATACGTCATCGCGCATGTAATCCATCTAGCTTGTGTCAAGTCCGATCGCGACCGACCGACGGAAGTCTACATATCATCGACGCGCCACAACTCATCGGAGACGCGTCGGACCGCTCGACGTCTGCCTCGGCGGCCGCCATGCTGAACACGATCACATGAGTCTCATCGCCACGGACGGCTCGCTGCAGTCAGCGCGCTACGCGTCTTGTTTCCGTACTAGCATGTTCCCAGAGCGGGTGCACACTTCCTGTTGCCTGTACTGCTTATCGCGGTACCAGACTACATAAGCGCGTTCTCCGACTTCGGCCGAAGCCCCAATAAAGTGAAGATGCCGGCACGTGGTCAGCCGTCACTCGAACAATTTATGAGCTCGAGTCAGTGCTTTCAGAACTTGAGCAGCGCGTCCACTTCCAACCCACGATGGGGCTCCTCGGCCTCGCTCGACAGTCTCTAAAACGGACAAGTAACGGCTTGCTAAAGTCTCAGGCCATTAGCTTCAATGTCGCCGCCGCCCGCTCTCTGCACACGACTCTGCCAGCGCGAGCTGTAGCAGACTCTGCCGTCTTTACACCCAAGGATGGCGAGCGGGTGCTCAACTCGCCGTCAGAACTTGCGCGCCGTATTAGCGCGAAAGTGCTGCCGAAACTGCCGCGGCCTGATGTGCGCAAGGTCGTGATGGTCGGCTCTGGCGGTCTCAGCATCGGCCAGGCCGGCGAGTTCGACTACTCCGGTTCGCAGGCCATGAAGGCGCTTCGGGAGGAGGGGATCGACGCCGTCCTTGTCAACCCAAACATTGCAACGTGGCAAACCTCACATCAACTAGCTTCTGCGGTCTACTTCCTGCCTATCTCGGTCGACTACGTCGCATACGTGCTCGAGAAGGAGCGCCCGGACGGTATCTTGTTAACTTTTGGTGGTCAAAGCGCACTCAATGTCGGTATCGAATTGGACCGCATGGGCGTACTGGAACGTCTTGGCGTGCAAGTACTCGGAACACCTATCAGGACATTGGAGGTCTCGGAGGACCGTGATCTATTCGTACAGGCGCTTAACGGTGAGCATTCCTATCAGTGACATGCGACGCACTAGCTGACTTGACCCTTCCAGAAATTGACATCCCTGTGGCAAACTCAACGGCAGTATCGACAGTGAACGACGCACTCGCCGCTGCGGATCGCATCGGCTACCCGGTCATCATGCGTTCGGCATTCACCCTCGGTGGTCTTGGCTCTGGCTTTGCAAACAACTCGGACGAACTTCGTGACCTTGCGGCTCGCGGTCTCTCGCTTTCGCCTCAGGTGCTCGTTGAGAAGAGTATGAAGGGCTGGAAAGAGGTCGAGTACGAGGTCGTACGTGACGGCGCAGACAACACGATCATTTGCTGCAACATGGAGAACTTCGACCCGCTTGGAACACATACTGGTGACAGTATCGTCGTTGCGCCTTCACAGACGCTCACCGATGACGAGTACCACATGCTCCGGTCTGCTGCTCTGAAGGTACGCGTGTACCTTGCATACCTACAAGCTTAAACTAACATCATAACCCAGGTCATCCGTCATCTCGGTGTCGTCGGCGAGTGCAACATTCAGTATGCGCTTAACCCGGCCGATCGACAGTACTGTGTCATCGAGGTCAACGCCCGTCTGTCCCGCTCGTCCGCTCTCGCATCGAAGGCGACCGGCTACCCGCTCGCATACACCGCCGCAAAGCTTGCGCTTGGATATACCCTCCCTGAGCTCCCGAACGCCGTGACCAAGACGACCACCGCATGCTTCGAGCCTTCTCTCGACTACATCGTCACGAAGATCCCGAAGTGGGACTTGGCCAAGTTCTCTACCCAGGTCGACCGTCACGTCGGGTCCAGCATGAAGAGTGTCGGCGAAGTCATGGCTATCGGTCGTACTTTCGAGGAGAGCTTGATGAAGGCCGTCCGCATGGTTGACCCGCGCTGGGTTGGATTCGAGGTGTTCGGTGCCAAGATGAGCGTTGAGCAGATGGAGGACGTTCTGCGCAACCCTACGGATATGCGTCTCTTTGCTATCGCTCAGGCCATGTACATCGAAGGATACACTGTCGACCAGCTGCATGACCTCACCAAGATCGACAAGGTAAGCTCATCTTCCTTTGCTTATTATACAGACTCCGAGTTAACGGTGCATGCAGTGGTTCCTGTACAAGCTCGAAAACATCGTCGAGACTCACCGCGAGCTCACCACTGCCGGCTCCGTCTCCGCCATCTCTCAAGAGCTTATGCACAAGGCCAAGCGCATGGGCTTCGCTGACCTTCACATCGCTTCCCTTATCAACTCCACCGAAGGCGAGGTCCGCGCGCATCGCAAATCACTCGGTGTTACGCCTTTCGTCAAGCGTATTGACACGCTCGCTGCCGAGTTCCCTGCGCACACGAACTACCTTTACACGACCTACAACGCTAGCACTCACGATGTTGAGTTCACGGATCAGGGTACCATGGTTCTTGGCTCGGGCGTGTACCGCATTGGTAGCAGTGTTGAGTTCGACTGGTGTGCTGTCACCTGCGCTCGGTATGTTGTTCAATTACATGAGCAGCGCATCATCAACTGAGCCCTATCCACAGCTCTCTCCGTGAGATGGGTCGCAAGACGGTCATGATCAACTACAACCCGGAGACCGTGTCAACTGACTTCGACGAGGCCGACCGCTTATACTTCGAGGAGCTCGGCTGGGAGCGTGTCATGGACATCTACGAGCTCGAGGCCGCGTCTGGTGTTGTTGTTAGCGTCGGTGGTCAGCTTCCGCAGAACATCGCCCTCCGCTTGAAGGATGCCGGCGTGAATGTGCTTGGCACTGACCCCGAGAAAATCGACATGGCCGAGGACCGTCACAAGTTCAGCTCCGTACTCGACAAGATCGGCGTTGACCAGCCTGCCTGGGCTGAGGTTACTTCCGTTGATGCCGCGAAGCAGTTCGCCGAGCGCGTCGGATACCCCGTCCTTATTCGCCCGTCGTACGTTCTCTCGGGTGCTGCGATGAACGTCGTGTCTTCCGAGGAGACCTTGGAACACAAGCTCTCGGCCGCAGCGGACGTTTCGCCCCTTCACCCGGTCGTCATCTCCAAGTTCATCCTCGGCGCGCAGGAGATCGATGTCGACGCTGTGGCGCACCAGGGCAAGCTCCTTGTCCACGCCGTCAGCGAGCACGTCGAGAGCGCCGGTGTCCACTCCGGTGATGCCACACTCGTTCTCCCGCCGGTCAGCCTTCCTGAGAGCGACATGGCGCGCATCAAGGACATCACCGAGCGTGTGGCCTCGGCATTTGATATCTCCGGTCCTTTTAACATGCAGATCATCCGCCAGCCCGCATCATCTGAGGGCGAGGAAGCCGCGCTCAAGGTCATCGAGTGCAACCTCCGCGCATCGCGTTCATTCCCCTTCGTCAGCAAGGTTCTCGGCCACAACTTCATCCGCACTGCCGCAGCTGCCATTGCCGGCGAGGGCGTACCCGAGCCCGTCGATGTTATGCAGGAGAAGCGCGACTACACTGCCGTCAAGGTCGCGCAGTTCAGCTGGACGCGTCTCGGTGGTGCCGACCCGTACCTTGGCGTCGAGATGGCCAGCACTGGTGAAGTCGCGGCGTTCGGAAAGGACATTCACGAGGCGTACTGGGCGTCGTTGCTCTCTACCACGGGCTTCAAGATTCCCAAGGCAAAAAGCGGTGTTCTTCTGGGTGGCGATATCAAGGCACCCGAGCTCGGCCAGATCGCCACGATCTTGGCCGAGAACGGCTTCAAGCTCTTCACCTCGTCGCATGAAGTCGAGGACTACTTGAACTCCCTGCCCTACGTCTCGGCGAAGAGGATCTTCTTCCCGACGAAGGACAAGCGTAAGCTCCGCGAGGTCTTCGACGAGTACGATATCCAGTGCGTCGTCAACCTCGCGAAGGAGCGCGGCGCGAGCGCTACGGACGAGGACTACGTCGCCCGTCGTAACGCGGTGGACTTCGGGTTGCCGTTGTTGAACAACCCGAAGACGGCATTGTTGTTCGTGGAGGCCCTCGCGAGGAAGATCCCGCAGGGTGGACTCAGGCCGTACGAGGAGGGACGGATCCCGAGTGAAGTCAAGAGCTGGAGCGAGTTCGTTGGCTTCCAGGCATAAGTAGGGTGATGCATAGGAAATTGGGGAAGAACTCTCCGTGCGACCGGAGACAAAAGAGCGCCCTTGATAGGCGTACTGTCTGCTACTCTAGATGCTTCTTCTCTGTAATAGCCGGTGGGCTTGTATGAATACGAACGATGTTCCTGCATGTGCAAGGATGCATGACGTGATGCATGGACGAGTATGGGCGCTGTTGTGGGAAACGTATCGGGAGATGCCGGCACAGTTCCGCCGCGAGTTGCTCGCTGTGCGTAACGACGATGACGACCGATACTCGATACTCACTCATCGAAAGATATTTCTACCCTCGCTACCAGGCTATCGTATCTCAAATTACAGTAAATCCTTGTCGGTACGGTGGATTCTCCATGCATAATGATGCTGGTCGAGTTTGTTTGTTGCAACAATACCGCAGTGCTGAGTAGGCTTCGCGAAGAGGCCCATGCTGGGAGTTCCAATATCCTGAGTCATGCAACCCTCGCTTCTAGCCATGCACCGAGGGCCTAGCCTAGCTCACTTGCATGTCCCTCTGCGTATCACGGTCGCCATCGCCGCGGTCGAATCGCCGCGATGTGGTAGTCGCCGCGAAACTTGCGTGGCGCAAGTGTCGTGGCTACGGTGATACGAGATTGGTTCCTCCGCACCGGTTTATTCCTCAGGCCGACGCTAGTGGTATAAAGGCCAGCTATCCCACGTATCATTCGAATCGCTCGTCCTCCTACCTGTCGCCAAACCCAAGACTACTCGATGCTAGCACACAACCTGATCAAGGACACGACTTTTGGATATCTTCTGCGCGCTTTATTGGGACCCTCTGTTCTTCCGCACCCTGACGAACTAGACGTTCAGAACGTTTACGGATGGTCTATCGACAAGCGCCGCTCTCCCTCGGTAGATAATGCCGAGTTCCATGAGCAAGGTGCTTCTCCAGCTCCCACTGACGTCCGTACAAGCGGAGTCACCTTCGACGCAGACGAGAAAGTCGGCAACGTCGTTGTAGGATGGTATGGGTCAGACGACCCCGATGTGCGTAACTCCCGTGTATCCTGCTGCAAACCCTCAATCGCTGACTAGTCACGTACAGAATCCTCAGAACTGGAGTTCGGCGAAGAAAGTGTGGGTTCTGTTTCAGACCTGCTATCTGACTTTCGCGGTCTACATCGGCTCTTCGATTTACACTGGCGGCATAAAGGATGTCGAAGCTCAATTCAACGTCAGCCAGGTCGCTGCCACGCTTGGCCTTACCATGTTCGGTACGCATAGTCGCCTTGCTTAGCATGAGCGGCGGTATTGATCAGTCATCCAGTGTTAGGCTACGGCGCGGGTCCAATGTTTTTTGCTCCCCTTTCGTAGGTAGCATTCGTCAGCCATGTCGCTCTGTGACTGATTGAGACACAGTGAGCTACCCCAGATCGGTCGCCTGCCCATCTACATGGGCACGCTGGTGGCCTTCGTCCTATTCTTGATACCCACCGCGCTGGCTACGAACTTCGGCATGCTGTTGGCGTTCCGATTTCTGACCGGCTTCTTCGCTTCTCCTGCTTTGGCCAACGGCGGTGCTACCATCGCGGATATGATCAGCCCTAAACGGAGAGCCTACGCCATCTACATTTGGGGTATCGGCAGCGTACGTGACTCCACAACAGCTCACTCGCGTCTATACTCATCCACTGCACAGACATGCGGGCCTGTGCTGGGACCACTTCTCGGCTCGTTCTCAGCTCACGCGAAGGGGTGGACCTGGACGATGTGGGTGCTTATGTGGTTGTCCGGGTCTGCGCTGGTCCTCCTCTTTTTCTTCTTCCCCGAGACTTCCCCGGACAATATCCTCTACCGGCGCGCGCAGCGTCTACGACAAGCTACTGGTGACCATACTCTACGTGCCCAGTCCGAGATCGACGCATCGCAAAGGACCGCACGCGAGCGTCTGACGGCCTCGATGGTCATGCCGATCGTCCTCAACTTCACAGAGCCTATTGTCCTCGTACTGAACATCTACATTGGACTCGTTTACGCGCTTCTCTATCTATGGTATGGACCGATCATGCTCTCTATCTAGCGTCGTGTTGATGATGAGTATAGGTTCGAGAGCTTTCCTATCGTCTTCGTCGGCATCTACCACTTCGAAGAGCAACTTCTCGGCCTTTCGTACTTGGGCATTTTTTCCGGCGCTCTACTCAGCGTCTTTCCATTCTTCGCTTATCTCCGTTACATCGTGGAGCCCCGCTACGCGCGAGGAGATCCTGCGCCGGAGGAGCGCATGCTCATTGCGAGCTACGCCGCGCCCGTTGGTGAGTCTAATGTTCTGTCATGTTGAATGGGGCTGATCTGGCATATGCAGTCGCTATTGCCTTGTTCTGGTTCGGCTGGAGCGCACGAGAGAGCGTGCACTGGATCGTGCCTATCATCGGCACCTCTCTATTCGGCATCAGCATACTCCTCATTTGCAACATCGTGCTCAACTATCTGGCTGACGTCTATCCGACTTACGCAGCCAGCGTTTTGGCTAGCAATGGCCTCATGCGTTCCGCATTCGGTGCTACGTTCCCGCTGTTCGCGCACGCTATGTATGACAAGCTTGGAGTCGGATGGGCCAGTACACTGTTGGGCCTTCTTGCGTGCGCGTTTGTACCCATCCCGGTCTTTCTCTATTGCTACGGAGAGCGCATCCGCTTGATCAGCAAGCGGGCTCGCCACGACTACGTTAACTGAACAACATAGACATCTCACACGTACACCTCGCTTCCACACGTCACCCACCATGATACCATTTCACTTTTGCGTTGCACTTTAGCCCTACCTGTGGTGTCGAATATACGTAACATCAAGCGCCATGCTAGGTGGACAATATACTATGTCCGTCATCGCAAGCAGAAGAACGTCGATGAGCGGATGTAGAGCAGCTTATGAGCCACGTCGTGTTCCCACAAACCAGCATCGAGGACCCAATTATGTTTGGCGAGACCAGCGATGTGGACTACGATACGATGGAAAGGATGGTCGCAGTCTCCTTAAGGCATGGGAAAAATCAGAGCTTCGGGCTTGACGGCGCTTCGCCAGCGCGCGCCACATCTCCCAAGATCTTGCCACCATCATCACCCACTCACGAAACCCTGCATTTGCCCATACAATCGATCTCCATTCGGCGCAGATATGTCCTGTATGGAAGAGCTCTCCTTCTGATTCCTGCGTCGCAGGAAAGGCGTATATCCGAAGCTCGGGCTTGATGGGCTCGACATGAGTGGACTCGTCGGGTATACGCCTTCTCTGGCCCATAGCAGATTTGCACACCTCGGCAACGGCTCTATTCCCGACGCATCTATGCTCCCCAAGGTCTCAACAGATGGGACAGAGCTGGCGTACATGCGCCTACTTGGGTGAGGGGTGGGGATGGTCTCATCCGACTATCACCATATTCGTGGGCAACGCCTTGCACCGTCACTTGTGCGCAAACATCCACATCGTGTGCGCAGCCCCGGAGATATACATCATGGTCAGCAATATGACTATAGGACATGTTGTACCATAAATTGCGCGGGTCACCCATCCTCCTCTTCCAATCGCTCCTCCCGACGGTCCAACAACGACTCACCATGCCTATCCGCGTCGGCTTCGTCGGTCTCTCCAAGTCCAGTCCCGGTTGGGCATCATCTGCACTCGCTCCCCCGCTGTTCTCAGAGCCATTGAAGTCACAATACGTTCTATCGGCTCTGAGCACCTCGTCTGGCGATTCTGCTACCAAGAGCGCCGCACATATCGGGGACCTTGCCGGTGGAACCGTTCGCGCTTACCATGGCTCTACGGACAGCATTGCGGCGGATGATGAGCTTGATCTCGTCGTAGTCGCCGTCAAGGCGCCTTCACATCGCAATGCAGTATTGCCACTATTGGAGAAGGGGCGAAACGTCTTCGTCGAGTGGCCGGTCGGCAGGAACATCGCAGAGACGAAGGAGTTCGTCGCCAAGGCTCAGGCGAAGGGCATACGCACAATGGCCGGTCTGCAAGGGTGGCAGATACCTGCTGTGAAGAAGATACGCGAGATCATCGCAAAAGGAGATATCGGAAATGCCATGAACGTTACTTGGGTCAGTCTCATATCCTATGTGAAACAAGGATGTCCGAGTTGCTGACATGCGCATGCAGGTCGCTGTGAAGCAGCCCGCGGTACCATACTGGACGCCATTTGTGTTGGCGTCTGGCGAGTATGCCATGGATCCCTCGCAAGGCGCTACGCTCGCAGACGTCTGGTTAGGCCACAACTTCTCTGTCATCACTCGCGCACTCGGCCCGCTCGTCGCGCTCTCCGCAACCGGAGCGATCGCCATTCCCGTCATCAAGGTTGGGGCTTCTCCCGGCGACCCTGGAGCGAAGGATGTGAAGGCGGAGTCGCCTGACCAATACTCTGTCAGCGGCGTGTTCGAGTCTGGTGCGCTCTTCACCGGCGTTTGGCGCACGCTTGGGCTTGAAGTGTCCAACAAGGGTCCCACTCTCATCTGGCTCATCGATGGCTCGAAGGGTCAAGTGCGCGTGGAACTTGACTCAACGGTCGCAACCGGCGGGTTTCCGCATGTGTACCCGCCTGCGTCGCTCTTCCTCAACGACG